TGCTGCAGCCTGAATACGCGGCTTTGAACACTCCCGGAGCGCGGTTCCGGCCCCCTTGCCCTGCACAGTCCCACTCGGATACACGCCCTGCGTGGCGGCCGCCCGTGCGGTGGGCGCACAGAGGTCACTGAGTTCTGTGTATAAATGAGCCCCTGTGACAGGGCTCAGCAGTCCTCTTGTCCACCCGTTTTTCGCGGTTGAGGATATTTTTAATCGCTGCTACTGCTTTCAGGCAGGGCCAGTCTCAAACACTACTTTTGATTTCTTAAGAATCCTTGACTTCCAGGTCCCGTGTCCCCCAGTTCAGAATGCATGTGTGTCCCCCTACCCCTGCCCCAAGTTTCCTTCCTTTGCAGTAAGTTCACACGTTTAATCATACGGCCCGGACCCTCCTATCCCAAGGAGACGGCTCCCCTGGGATGTTTCCATGTTTACGGGCCTGCAGGGGGCCAGGGTTTAAGTTACAGACAGAACCTGGGGTGAGTCTTTGGGGACCCAGGGAGATTTGCTGAAGGTACTTGAGAGAAGGGTACACTCAGGCGTCAGCCAGTGGCCACTCCTCCGTCACCTGGAGCCAGTGCTGGTCTCAGAGCTGCCACATGTGCCTCACGGAAGGTCTGCCCACCACCCTCGGCTGATGGCTGTCTTCTGGACAGTTGGGGAGTGCAGGGGACCCTCCCAGGCACAGGACTGTAAGGACTGGACTCCATGAGACGTACATGAACTTCGCTTACATACCCGCCTCTTGCGTCTGTTTTCACCTTTGCTTGTGCGTGGAGAGAAGTCAGGGAGCCTACTGCCTAGTGCAGACGACAGACACACAGGTCCCCGATGGCCAGTATTTTTTAATTTGTTTTCTATTGAAAATTTTAAGAAATATTTAAATGTAAAAATTCCAGTGCAGCAAAACGCTCTGTGTACACTGAGCAGGATGAGGGTGGAAGGTGGTAGCGTGTTGAGCTTGCTTCCAGCCCTTTTCCAGGAAAAACTATGACAGATCAGACCTCTCTGTGCACATCCCCAAGGTCCGCTCTCCCTGCACAGAGAGCACCCCTCCCGTGCGGCTACTGCGCGCCTGGCCTGCGGGAAACGGAGGCAGATGGTGCCAACGGCTTGGGGGGCGGTTTCAGGGATGTTGGCATAAGCCAAGCTGCAGCTGTTCCTCCCAGGACCAGAGTAAAATGTTTACGAGGACCACTCAGTGAATGATTGCTGCATTTTATACCAAAACATGAAAAATAGTACATACAGCCCTTTTATTATTCCGGTCCTAAGTAGAATGTACTCTTCTCTACCAAAACCTCTGTAAGGAAGGTGAGTTGAGTGAAAGGAAGAAATAGAGGGAAAGTGTGTGTACAAAACACACAAGACAGACAGACCGTCCGTTTCTCCTCACTTCATCTCACTCCAGAGATGCTGGTGGATTTAAGCCCAGTCCCTGTCTTGGCCACTCGGTTACAGCCCTTTCCCTTCTCTCGTGCCCCCTTTTCCCACCCCACCCCCAGCAGGCTGTGTCCTGAACCTGGTTCCCCACTCTTTCATGGCTGCCCCAGGCCTCCTGGGCCCGTCACCCTGTCCACCCTGTCGCCATCTGCGGTCTTTATTCTTGCATCTCATTCCATCCTCCCAGCCCCCAGGCCCTCAGGCACTCACAGCCCACAAATAGTCTCTTGCCCGTCGCCCCTCCCATTCAGCACACCTGCAGGCTGCTCTGCAGGTCAGGGTGCAGGGAGGGTGGGGGGGTGGCAGCTAAAGCAAGAGCTGTGCCAGGGCAGAAGGAAGGGGATGCGGGGCAGAAAAGGGAGCCTGAGGAGCAGGGCGTGGCGGGAGGGCGTTCAGATCTGGCCTCAGTGCGGTGACCGCTCCGTCACACCTGCCCCCCTGAGTGTCCCCGGAAGGAGAGGCTGCGGCCCCTGTGCCGGGATGTGTGTCAGCAGGACGGTGCTCCGCAGCCGGATAAACCTAAGCCTGTGCGAGTCCTGGCCACACGATGACCTGACCGGGGAGGGGGAGCGGCTCCTGGGGCCCTGTCCGGGGCTCCCCACCCCGGGTGGCGGCTCACCAGCTTCTCTCCTCTGGACCCTTTCAGGAAGGAGGCTTTCATGGAGGCCCGGGGCGCCCGCAGGGGCGTCAAGAAAGTCATGGTGATCGTGACGGACGGGGAGTCCCACGACAACCACCGGCTGCCCCAGGTCATCCAGGACTGTGAGGGGGACGGCATCCAGCGGTTCTCCATCGCGGTGCGTACCGGGCGCTGGGTGACGGGCCTCTCTCGGGCCCGTAGCTGGGGGGGCTCCTCCGCACGCCACC